ATTATAAATTACTTACAAACTTTAGACTCTTCATAACAGTAGCAAGACACCACCTTCATGAATAACTTAAAACTACATATTAAAAGAAAAGGCAAATAATATGAACTTATAGAACGAATTGTTTTCTTTCTAGACCATGTCACGACCTGGATTTCCCATCCTCGGGAGTCGTGATGGCGCCTACTATTAGGAGCTAGGCAAGCCAACTATTTATTATCTCTTTTAGCAAACCTCGACATTAATAAAACAACGAAACATTTAACATAAAAGCGGAAGTCTTAAACATAAATAAACGGAGAACAATGCGGAAGTTCAATACAACTCTACCCAAGAACTGGAGTCACAGACTCACGAACGTCTAGAGAATGCTAAATACAAAGTCTGAATAAAAACATAGTTCTGTTTGTTCCAGTACAAAGGATAACAAACTAAAGTAAAGATAGAAGAGACTCCGGGCCATGCGGACGTCAGCAAGGCTACCTCAGGATCTCTGGGCTGAAGTCAGCTCCCAAATGCTCCTACTGCTATCCAAAAGCTGCTGCTCCGATACTGTGATCTGTGCAAAAAGATGCACAGAGTATAGCATCAGCACAACCGACCTCATGTGCTGGTAAGTGCCTAGCCTAACCCCGGCGAAGTAGTGACGAGGCTAGACCAGACTACCAGATAAACCTGTGCAGATATATATATATACAAGTACAACAAAATAATAGCGGAAAGTAAGCAATTAAAGCTGGGAGGGGGGAAACATGCTTATGGGGAAGCAGATAAACGGAATACCAGGAATAACAAGAGAAACTACATCTGATTTCTTCTAACACCGAATAAAGGAAAACAAACCACTTTCACTTATTCCAATTTCCTCTCATTGCAGGCGTGCAACACGATCCCATTTCCTTACATCACGTGGTAGGCGTACCACACGCTCCCATTACAATAATATCACGTGGTCGGCGTGCCACACGTTCCCATTTCATAATAACTCGTGGTCGGCGTGCCACACGATCCCATTTCATAATATCTCGTGGTCGGCGTGCCACACGATCCCATTTCATAATATCTCGTGGTCGGCGTGCCACACGATCCCATTCCTTTCAACACAATACACAACATAATCCCGGCAAGGGAGAAAGATGTTATAATAACTATCCCGGCAAGGGAGCAATGTAATATAATAAACTATCCCTGCAAGGGAGCAATGTAATATAATAAACTATCCCGGCAAGGGAGATCCAGCTATAACCAAACTCATTCAATCTCTACTTAACACAATTAAACCTACACTTAGTCTCAACAATTACTGGCTCAGTGTTAAAGATTTTCAACCAATTCCTCATAAATAATAATTACAAATTCGATAATTTAGCAAATTAGGACTCACGGTCATGCTCGACACCAGTGTATAGATACTCCTCACCATGCCTATACACCGTACTCGACAAATAACAATTAACAAATAAGACTCTACTCCTATTCCCTCAAGCCAAAGTTAGACCAAACACTTACCTCAACTTCCACAGCTAAATCAATCCACAACGACCGCCTTCCCTCTCGAATTCGGCTCCAACTCAATCAAATCTATGAAATAACGACTTTATAATATCAATAATAGCTAAACAAATCAAACACAATGCCTAAATATAGATTCCCAACCTTTCTTCCAAAATCGACCCTGGGCCCGCTTGGTCAAAACCCGAGGTTCGGACCAAATTCATATCCCCTGTTCCCCCACGAGCCAGAATATACAATTTGCTTTCAAATTCGACCCCAAAACAAGGTCTAAATCAAAGAAGATTGAAAAATCCACTCTACCCATTTTTTCCCCAATTTCAACCCTAGATTACATGATTTGAGCCTAAGAATTTGATAAATGATGAAGGAAAATGAAGGAAACAAGTTAAATAATACTTACCCAAGAAGCTTTGGTGAAGAAGAGCTCTAGAAATCGCCTATGGGCTGTAGAGAAGATGAGTTCGTGTGTTTTTGGGTGAAAAATCTCGTCACTGTTCTGTTTTGGGTATTTAAAATCACTGGACAAAATTGCCTTTCGCGTTCACGGAAAAGGGATCGCGTTCGCGAAGGGTAAATGGGATAAAGCATCACGAACGCGGGGAGTCTAATCGCGAACGCGTAGAAGAGGAGGGCTGGGGTCCAGGAACTTACTCTACGCGAACGCGATGAAGGATGGGCTAAGACTATGCGAACGCGGGGACTGTTCCGCGAACGCGAAGAAGGGGGAGCCCAAGGGTACGCGAACGCGAGCTGAAGGCCGCGAACGCGAAGAAGAAAAGTATTGTTCACCTGCTGCAACTTTTCTGCATTTTTCTAAGTTTCAAAACCATCCCGAACACCTCCGAAAACACTCCCGAGCCCTCGGGGCTCCTAACCAGACACACACACTAACTCAACCACATCCTACGAACTTAAACGTGCGATCAAATCGCCAAAATAACATCAAAAACGAGGAATCAAACCTCAAAATCATCACTTTTTCATCAAACTTCATAAACTTTCATTTTTAGATATTTAGGTCCGAAACACGTCAAATGACGTCCGATTCCAACCAAATTTCACAGAAAGCGCTTAAACCGCATATAAGACCTGTACCTGGCACCGGAACCAAAATACGGGCCCGATACCAACACGTTCTAATCAATTTCCTTTTCAAATTTCCATATTAATTTCTGTAAAATAATTTCACAGAAAAATTTATTTCTCGGGCTCTAGACCTCGAAATTCGACTCCGGGCATATGCCCGAGTCTCATATTTTTCTACGGACCCCCCGGGACCGTCCAATCACGGGTCCGGGTCCGTTTACCCAAAATGTTGACCAAAGTCAACTTTAATCATATTAATATCAAAATTCATCAATTTTTACACAGAATTCATATTTAAGCTTTCCGGCTACGCGCCCGGACTGCGCACGCAAATCGAGGCAAGTAAAAATGAGGTTTTCAAGGCCTCGGAAGCACGGAATGAAAGGAAAAACAGGTGATGACCCCTTTGGGTCTTCACAGACCACATATTTCCTCTTGAATTAGATTCTAACCAGTTGCAACTGTATCACTTCTCACATCATCTTTCAAACTGCTTCTTTCCTCAAACTTCAGTCCGAAATATCTTTATGTACTCATCAACCACGAACCTTGGCTAGACTTGTTTGTTTGCTTTCCTCTGCGTCTTTCTCAACCAAATTAAGCAGCTGCTGGATAAATCACTGCCCTACTTCCCAGATTATAAGACAAAGCTAGTGACATCCTAGTCCACATAAATCAGTTTTGCGAGCCAGACCAAATGAAACCACCTATGATTTAAAAAAAAAAAACAATTCAGCATGTAGTTACCATTGGCCAATATAAGTAATAAAGTGCAAAACCATCTAAATGTTCTTGAATGCAAAGAATCACTAAGTGCTTCCAATTTCCGATCAGGGACACTCTGTATATCTTTTTCATTCTTTAGCAAAAAAAGTCTTTCTCTACTTCAAAAAGATACAATTTCGTACCTTTTGTCACTAATTTTGCTACAGAAATTTAATATCGGTAACAAACTAATATTTTTTGGGAGAAGACACCAAATATAGTTTCTGTTTCCTCCTCTTTATCATCATCGCACATGCTAAATCAATTCAAATGCCAAAATTACATTCATCTAATCACATTTAAGGTATGGCCAATGAATGTGGGAAGATGTAGCCAGACCTCTTTTTAATCAGTCTTCTCCGAGGTTCTTTTAATTTAGATCTTAATGGCATTGACGCCAGATGACAGGTATCATCTTTGTTCTAGTTATTTTTTTAGGTAGCAATTTATTTTAAGTGGTTTCTCAACAATTAAGAGAGTGATATCATTGCCATATTATTAACATTTATGTCTCTGTATCTAGAGCTCGTTTGACTTTACTGATTTAGAGTAGCTGATAAGCATTAGGTGCTGATAAGCACTTTAAAGTGCTGAAACTGATTTAAAAAATAAGCAGTTACGTGTTTGGATAAAAGTGCTGAAATTAATAATATGCAGCTGAAGAACTGGGTATACGAAGAGTTTTGTTTTTAAAAAAAAGTATTTTAGGGATAGAATAGTAAATATTTTGGTCAAACTTAAAGTGCTTATAAGCTGAAATTTGATAAGTTGGGATTTATGTATCTAGAGCTCGTTTATGTCTCTGTATCTAGAGCTCGTTTGACTTTGCTGATTTAGAGTAGCTGATAAGCATTAGGTGCTGATAAGCACTTTAAAGTGCTGAAACTGATTTAAAAAATAAGCAGTTATGTGTTTGGATAAAAGTGCTGAAATTAATAATATGCAGCTGAAGAACTGGGTATACGAAGAGTTTTGTTTTTAAAAAAAAGTATTTTAGGGATAGAATAGTAAATATTTTGGTCAAACTTAAAGTGTTTATAACCTAAAATTTGATAAGTTGGGGAAGACCAACTTATGGCTTTTGACTTATTTTTGGCTCATAAGCACTTAACTTATAAGCACTTTTAATTTTACCAAACGCGTAGATAAGCTAAAAAGTGCTTATAAACCAGTTTGACCAGATTATAAGCTTAGCCAAACACCCTCCTAGTTGTGTTATAACTTACTTTTGCTTCTTGTCCTTTTGAGGATAAAAACAGGTTACCCTAGAACAATAAAAAAAAATAGGTTAGCCCAGATTTGTATGGAGATAACAATGTAAGACCTTTTATCTACTGGACCAGGACCTTTTATCTACTGGACTTTAAGTGAATCTTTTTTCAAATTAAAGCTAAGATACATAAATTTCTAAATCAAAGAGAATGTGCGATGAAGTACATACACAATTTCTTCCATCATTTACATTTTATGTCAACTTTATGTTAGGTTTCCACAAATGGTTATATTAGCTTCTTATATATTACACCTTTTTCTTTGAAATAGTATTGCAAGATGATGAAAATATAGGGAACCATAAAAGAAAATAACGACTCTAATCTCTCTGTTGTCATTTTTCCAAGAGCTTAGCTTTTCTTTTATTCCTCGTAGACACCATAGCTCCTGCCATAAATTGTACTACCAATCAAAGAAATCTTATCAGTCATAGGGAACACCAAATCCAACTTAGTTCATATTTACAAAGAAAAGATTTAAAATAAATCCTAATTTCCATTTTTGAAAAGAAAGTACAAAAATTGGATGAAGGAATACTAACATGAATCATACAGTTTTAACTTCATAGTAGGTATTAGGAAGTTACAAAAATTATATTCTGAAATATAACACCATCAATGCATAAGGGAAATTATTAAGAAAAAGAAGTTATTCCAGTTTTAATGTATATAATAGTTTCACTCATTATATCCCAACACTATATCGTAGGGAGTCAACTACATTTTATGCTCATTTTCTCCCAATATTTTTAGTACATTATATAACAGTACTACTAAGACTTACATTTCCTTACAACTATTCTTCTTTCTATACAAAAATCCTTTTGGATTATTTTCTTTACTATGTTTGGCAATTGTGTCGTTCGATGAAACTACATCAAATATCCCAAAAATATTACACGGTATACCTCCATATATTCTAAAACATATCACGATATTCTACTTTGGAATACAGTCCAAACCTAACTTACCATATATTCTAATTCGGAATACAATATTCTAATTAAACAGACCATAATGTTTTAATTTGGAATAAAAGATACCACAATATTTTAATTTGAAAAATTCAAACCTATCTTACCCTAATATTCTAATGAAGAATACAATATCCAAACTAAACATACCATAATATTCTAACAAGACATACTACAATATTCTAATTTAGAATACATTATCCAAACCAAATATACTACAACGTTTAAATTTGGAATACAGTATCCAATGTAAATATACAATAATTTTTAATTTGGAATACAATATTCAAAGTAAACATGCTACAGTATTCTAATTTGAAATACAATATCCAGATTAAATATATTCTAACGAAACATACTACAATATTCTAATTTGGAATAAAGTATCCAAACCAAATATACTACAACGTTTTAATTTGGAATACAATATTCAAACTAAACATGCTACAATATTCTAATTTGGAATACAATATCCAAATTAAATATATCACAATATTCTAATTTAGAATTACATTATTATATTTTAGAATACATGGTAAAATAATTTTATAAAGTAGGTATACAAAGTAAAAAAAAATATTTTAATTGTATATGTTGTTAACTGATATTTCCAATGGGTATACCGCGTAGATTATCCTTTTTTTTTCAATCTCCTTATTTTGGTATGTTGTTCTGGGTCAACTATTATGCTACTAAAGCTTAAAACTTTGTACTCAGTTCTCCAATAATTATATATTTTTCTCCGGTAATTATATTTTTATACTTAGTTCTCCGGTAGTTATATTCTCATGAGTCTCAATATATGAATTAGTTACACCTAACCGTTCTGAGGAATTATCGATCAGTATTCAAATATAAAACAAATTCTATCAGATTAAATAATAACCTCCTGAACCTAGCAAGAACATTAAGAAGTATACAAACCAAGGATCTTACTCCTCGATGCTACATATTTCAGCATGTCAAATAAACAAATCCTTTTTTGACCAAAAAAAACAAAAAACAAATCCTTTACTGCCACATCTTTGATCTATAAACCCTGCTATCAATGATGTTGAAGACACAACATCTCTAACCGGAATTAGGCCAAACATATTGGATGCAAAAGGCAAATCCCCACATTCAAATAAAAATTAAGTGAAGAAACTTATAAACGCAAATTTGGTTCTATACCACTCCTAGCATTTCACCATTAGATCATTTACCTTTTGGCGAAATGTCCCCCTGGCCACTCAAACTTGTAGCGTTTTTAAAAGCCGATACATAAACTTTTCTCTTTCCCATTTAAACACTCAAACTCCTGAAACCTATAACTAATAAACACAATTTGTCCTTGACCCTAGGCGCGTGTATTACACATTCGCTAACGTGTCCATCCAGTCAGCAAATGACCAATGAGACCGGTACACGTCAATGGCGCCAAATTAAACCCAATCGATTGGGGTCCCCCTCTTTTAATCAGTACACCGACATACCCTTCCCCACTTTTCGTCTCTTTTCCTCTCTCTAACCATCCCTCCCCTCTTAAACCTAGGTTTAGCAATGGCTGATTAACCTGGTCATCTCCTTCCAAAATATTCTTAATCACTCCAAAACCAAACGATTGGGGTCCCCCCTCTTTTAATGAAAAGCTGATCGAGATTCGTCTGAGCTTTCGATTTCAGTCACGTTAGTCTCTGAAGGTTAGTTTGTTTCTTTTGATGTCGTTCTCATCTTTCTCTTCTAATTTGTTGTGAAATAATGTGGGTAATGTTTGATAGTGAAAGCTATCTATGTCTGCATGCATAATTTTTCATCTGATATAGTGGAATCCATTTCGCCTTTTGGGATTTTATATTTGGGGAAACACTGGAATATTCACTCTTTTAGGACTTTTTTTTTTTTGTCTTTTTCATGACTGATCTGGCATTTGGGGTTAAAAAATTAGGGCTATTGTCTGCATGCACAAATGATGGGATTTTATATTAGGGTTTTGGGGAAAACATTCGTATGTTCACTTTATTTTAGGGGTTTGTCTTTTTCATGAGTGATATGGCATTCAGGGTTAAAAAATTAGGTCTTTTTTTAATATCAAAATTTTCTTGTCTCTCATTTTGTTAAAGTTTATGTCTTTTTAGGGTTAAAGTGTATCTGACTTGTCCCCCATTTTTTATAGGTTTCAATTGCTGTCTATGTGAAATTACAGTTTCATCATCTAGGGTGGTTAGTGGCTGACCCAAGAGGTATGTAAATGGTCAAACTTGGCCAGTTGCTAGAATATATGATTATGCTGACCAGTTGAGGTCTACAAATCCTGGCAGCACTATTGTTGTGAAGACCTCCAAGGAGACAATACCTGGTAAGGAGGTGTTTGTGGGTATCTATATTTGTCTACATGCTTGCAAAGTTGGTTGGTTGGAAGGGTATAGAAATGTTATTGGCTTTGATGGAGCATTTCTGAAGGGTGTGTGTAAGGGTGAGCTACTATCATGCATTGCTAAAGATGGTAACAACCAAATATACCTTGTTGCCTGGGCAGTGGTGGAAAAAGGC